TATAAATTATTTTTTTTATACATACAATATGGATGTTAAATCGAAGCTCATCAAAAAAAAATTAATTTGATATATTACATATGTAAAACTGATAAAAAATACAAAAGTTATTAACTTATAAAATATATATATACAATTCAATAGTTATAATAAGGAATGATATTAAAATACAATTAATACATGGAACATGACCATAAATAATCAACATATTTATGGTAATCCGAACCTAATTTTTTTTTGTTTGGAATTAAATTAAAACTTACCCAAGTCTAATAACGAAGCATGTAATTTTGCCACATAGGATTCCGAAGCACCAGTAGCAGCCACGTAGGCTCAGCGCATTCTGGATTAATATATAGGGGGAGGGGATAAGTCGTACAAAGTGATCAATGTTGTTTTAACAGGGCGACGGGTTTGGCTTCGGCTGGAGGTTTGATCCGTGACTGCTTTGCCCAATGGCTAGGGGGTTTCGTGTTGAACATTGGTTTCTCGACGATAACTGGTGCGGAGCTCTGGGGATTATTTCAAGTGCTAACCCTTGCTTGGGATATGGGTTTTCGGAGAGTGTTGGCTTCGGTTGATAGCCAGTGTGTGGTACATATAGTCGAGGGTGCCCATGAGGGGGTTGGAGCCCATGGGAGTTTGGTACGTGGTATCCGAGATCTCCTTGCCCGGAACTGGGAAGTACGCCTTTCTCATGATTGGCGTGAATCAAATTTTGCAGCGGATTCTTTAGCTTCATTAGCTGCCCGTAGCCCCGGTGGGCTTCTTGTGCTGCAGATCCCTCCGGGAGATGTCAAACCGTGGCTGACTCATGATTGCCTTGGTGTCTCCCACCCGCGAAACATAGTTGTTAATCCGTCCTAGGCTTTGCCTCCTTTTATCTACTGAAAAAAAAATATATATATAAATGTAAAATTTTAAAATGAACTTTAAAGTTTAAAAAATATTTCTCTCCTTATATTTTTAGTATATATATTTTAATTCATAATCTTATGTGTCTAATTTTCTTTATTTCCATTTGTTGTGCTTTTGTTACAGTATCTGAACTCTATCTATACCAATTATAGCTTTTAAAATAAAAAAAAAAATGAATAATTTAAATTATAAATATATTTTAAAAGTTATCAATTTTTGTATTTTTCATGTATGAATATGAAATTAAATAATCTTTTGACGATGTTCGATTTGATAAACAATTTTATTTTTTGTTATAAAAATTAAAACATCTGTATATACGAAATAAAAATAATATAATTAGACATAAATAAATAGTTATACAACTTTTTTTTTAAATGCATTAAAAATATATTTTTTTGAATGTAATTTTATTTTTTTTTTATATAGCATTCGTGCAATCCACAAGTGTTTTGCTACTATTATTAAATAGGAAAATACAATAATAAAAAAGAAAATTAAAAAAAAATCTTCATGAAAATTATTTTAGATAGCTTTTAATTTATTTTCTTACTAGTACAACGCCCGTGTATTACACGGGTGTTTGCTAATTTTTTATTAAAATATAAAAATAATGAGAAAAAGTAATTGAAAATTTCAATACCTTTTATAAAAATATATATATTATTATATATTTAGTATGACACTTTTTTATTTGTGCGACTTACCTGTGTTATATTATAATATTTTTTTGACTTGCAACATATAACTACATTAAACATAAATATATCAATTGAGAAATAATTTTATTTTTCTAATGAATTTTAATAAATATTATTATTTTTTATTATTATAAAGATAAATATGATTTATTTATTTCATATATACAATATGGACGTCAAATCGAAGATCATCAAAAGATAATTAATTTGATATATTATATATGTAAAACCGATAAGAAATACAAAAGTTATCAACTTTTAAAATACATTTACAATTCAAAAGCTAATTGAAGGAAACCAATCAAAAGTCAGGGATATATTTGTCACTTTAGTGTCTCATTATGTAAAACTACAAAGAATTAAAGAGTTATATTAGTAAAAGTTATATTAAAATAACTAAGTTAACTATATAATATTTAGAGAATGTCTGAACCTAGATTATTAATTATTAATATATCAGTATTATTTGTCCAAACCTAATTACGAAGCATGATTCTTTGTCAAGTAGGATTTCGAAGCACCAGAAACAACCACGTAGGCTCAGCGTATTCGTGAATAATATATAGAGAGGAAGAGGATTTTCTTTTCCCACAGACGCAATGTGTGTGGCGATTGTTGAAAGTCGTCAAGAACGCATAAAATTAAAATCACAAAACACCGGCTTCTTGTTTGAAGTTCAACCCATTTTCCTCTCTCTCTCTCTCACACACACACAATCCTTGATGAAGTTTACACGTGATTCTTTATTTTTATTTATTGTGCTTTCATGACAGTATCTAGACTTCAATTCATACCTATTATGACTTTTAGAATTAACTTTCGTATTTTCCATGTATGATATATCAAATTAATAATCTCTTAACGATGTATTATTTGATAAACAATTTTTATTTTGTTATTATAAATATTAAAATATCTGTAAATACTAATTAAATTTAATATAATTACACATAAACAAAAGTGATTTTCTATAAATTAATTGAATTAGAAAAAATATTATAATATAAGCAACTAAATTGTACAAGTGAAAAATGTCATTTCAAACATAAATAGTTATAATTTTTTAAAAATGCATTTAAAATTTAAATAAAAAAATTGTTTTATAAATTTAAATTTAATTATCTTATATAGAACCCGTTCAACCTACAAATGTTTTGCTACTATTATTAAATAGGAAAGTACAATAAGAAAAAAAGAAAATTAAAAAACAATTTTCTTCATGACAATTATTTTAGATAGCTTTTAATTTATTTTCTTTTCCCACACACGCAATGTGTGTGGCGATTGTTGAAAGTAGTCAACAACGCATGATATAGCCATACTGTCGTGCATCGGTTCAGTAACCGCGGCATTGTCACGATTGG